TTATTATTATTATAGGAAATTAACTTGTGTTTGTGCATATTTATGTTTTCAAACAGCAGCTTGTAGCCAAAGACTAGTCTCCATAAGTGACAGGAAGAATGAGATATTCTTTTTGTTTAAATAAAAACTTTGTTTCTCTCAGGACTCTCGGCCCACTCTGATCTCTGAGATTGAGGGATGTGTGTATACGTTCCTGTGGCTAACAGCAGCTGCCTGCCCTTTAAACAGCGTCCAGCAGGGCGACTGCAGGGTCACCAACCCTGCTACAGGTCAGACTCACCCAGCCMTCCTCAATCAGCTTCTTTCAGGAGTAAAAAAATTAACATAAATATACTTTAACTGCAGAATAAAATGTTAGGAATGTGAAGAAATAGAATTAAACTTTTTCTTTCTTCTAGTAAAGCTTGTAAAAACAACATTGTTTAAAATTAAATCCTCAAAGGCCTTGATTATTATTTTTATTAATTTTTTAGGACATTTGTTTGACCTGAACTCTTTGAAGAAAGCAGATGGTTACGCAGTTTATGAAAGTGGGAAGATGTTTCGCATGAACATTTGTGGAGAGGTGACCAACGCTGGATGTGATCCAAACACTGGTAGGTAATCCACTGTGAAGCTGCGTTTGCTTCATTCTTTGCTTTTCAAAATAAAATTGCAAAAACAACAGTGGGTTTTTTTTTTCTCCAGTTTTCAAAACCTGAATGTAAAATTGAACAAATAAAAAAAATCCAGTGTTTGTTTTTTGCTTTGCTTATCTAAATCCTTAATAAAATATACGGTTGTTGTTTTAATATGTACTTGTACCAGAAATGACGAAGTCTTCAAAGAATTAGAGTTTATAGTGGCTGCTTAAAAACAGAAACCGTTCCTGAAGGTATTGTCAATGGTTGCACTTGAACCTGAATATTAAAGCAATTTTGTTTGCAGTAAGATGGACTTCTTCTAAATAAGACTTGTGTTGGTTTCTAAAGTGTTCAGTGAAAAACGTAACGCCCCAGGAGTTCAGGCCATGATGATTTCCGGTTCCGCCAGAAAGTAACCAACAGGACTGCAAAAAATGTCCATCTAATGAAGTTTTTACGTTATTTTATGTTCCTATTTTACCTGGTAAGATTCTTGAAATCAGTTAATTTGACTTTGAAGCGTTTAAATTAAAATCTTACAAAGTGAACTTGTCCTACTCCATTTAACTTAATTTGAGTCAAATTTACAAGCTAACAAGATTATTAATCTCACACATTCTGCTCTTGTTTAGTAAATTTGTCTCCAAACAAGATCAAAAAGATTTTTTTGGCTGGATATAAAATTTTAAAACTTAGATGGTTAGATGGACAGTTTTTCTGTTTAGCAAAATATAAAGCTTGTCTTTTCTTTAATCATTAAAAGAAAGTAAAAAAAAGTAGCATTTTTTCAGTTTTGTTAAGCTTTTTTATTTTAAAACAAAAAAATGAAAAAATTTTTATGTTTATTTATTTATTTATTTATTTTTGAATCAACAAGTTAAAGAACGAACCATACATGAATTACTGAGGCTGTTAGATCTTTTCTACGGAGCCCGCGATGGGACACGGAGGGATTTTTTTCTTTTGCGTTCCCTCGCAATACTTTTGCATCACCTCGCAATACTTTTGCATCACCTCGCAATACTTTTGCATCACCTCGCAATACTTTTGCATCACCTCGCAATACTTTTGCGTCACCTCGCAATACTTTTGCGTCACCTCGTAATACTTTTGCGTCACCTCGTAATACTTTTGCGTCACCTCGTAATACTTTTGCGTCACCTCGCAATACCTGTGCGTCACCTCGTAATACTTTTGCGTCACCTCGTAATACTTTTGCGTCACCTCGCAATACCTTTGCGTCACCTCGTAATACTTTTGCGTCACCTCGTAATACTTTTGCGTCACCTCGCAATACCTTTGCGTCACCTCGTAATACTTTTGTGTCACCTCGCAATACTTTTGCATCACCTCGCAATACTTTTTGCGTCACCTCGTAATACTTTTGCGTCACCTCGCAATACCTTTGCGTCACCTCGTAATACTTTTGTGTCACCTCGCAATACTTTTGCGTCACCTCGTAATACTTTTGCGTCACCTCGCAATACCTTTGCGTCACCTCGTAATACTTTTGCGTCACCTCGCAATACTTTTGCGTCACCTCGTAATACTTTTGCGTCACCTCGCAATA